TCGGAATGGAAAAAATTATATTCGGGTGTACCTCAAGGTTCAGTACTAGGGCACTTTTGTTCTTAATATATGTAAATGATATTACAGATGATCTTGAATCAAAGCCTTTTGCTTATGCTGATGATACCACGTTATTTGAGGTCGTAGATGATCCTGTTGAATCAGCTGAAAATTTTAACAACGATTTAGCTAAGATTTCTGAGTGGTCAGATAAGTGGTTGGTTACTATGAACCCCTCAAAAACTAGATCCGTGTTATTTTCATTGAAAAGAGACAAAATACATCATCCGGAACTTACATTGAGAGGTGTGGATATTGAAGAAGTTAGTTCTCATACCCATCTGGGTCTTACATTTCAAAACAATATGTCTTGGAATAAGCATGTGTTGGAAATTTATGAAAAAGTCTCTAAACGATTAAATTTTGATGAAATCATTCAAATTCCATCTAGACAGGTCTACTCTTAGATGTTTGTATACAAGTTTGATACGGTCACAAATGGAATATGCTGATATTGTTTGGGATAATTGTACATCAGGAAATAGTGATTTACTCGAAAGCGTTCAATACGATGCTGCTAAAATTATTACAGGTGCAATTAAAGGCACCAGTGCTCGGAAATTACGTGAGGAACTAGCCTGGGTAAAGCTGAAAACTAGAAGAAAAATTCATAAAATAATATTCTTCTATAAGTCTGTAAATATAATGACTCCAGCTTATATTAGTGATTTGGTGCCATTGAGAGTAGGTGAGACATCGAAATTTCGTTTGAGGTCAGCTACTGAATTTTCAAATTTTCAGTGTAGAACGGAAATGTTTAAAACATCTTTCTTTCCTTCAGTTATTAATTTATGGAATAACCTGTCTTTAGATATAAGACTGTTAGACTCATTATTTGTCTTTAAACATACATTACATAATTCATTGCATCCTTTAAAGTACAACCGTTTGTTTGATTCCTCACTAAGCAGACGAGCTTCTATTTTACATGCTAGGTTACGTTTACGTTGTTGTGCTCTTAATGATTATTTATTTTTTATTAATTGTGCAGTTTCTCCTATTTGTGCATGTAAACAAGGAACAGAAACTGTAAAACATTATCTACTTGAATGTTTCCGTTATGCTACTCAGCGTGCGACTTTGCTTACCTCTGCTGCTCAGCTTTTTGGTCAATCGTGGTTGCGGTGCAGCGACACTGTAAAGTTAAACTGAGTTTTAAATGGATCTGAAGTTTTGAGTTATGAAGAAAATTGTGTATTGTTTTCAATAGCTCAACAATTTATTTTAACCACATGTCGTTTTGCTGCATCCGCCTTTGATGTTTAATATTTCTATATTAATATCTTATTTTGTCTGGGTGTGTGTACCATTTGCGTGTTGTGTGTTAAAATGTTATATATGTATATAGATGTAAGCCCCCTCGATAAGCAGTTTGCTTTTGGGGTAAACATCAAATAATAAATTTTAAATAAAAAAAAAGATGGAGATGAAGTTTGCTTTAATTTCACTGGCTTTATTTCCCTTGAAAGTGAGTGTTCCATTAGTTGAATACCAGCGCACAGAAAACTTTTCGCATGCATTCATACAATTTCGAGCCACCGCCTCGAGTCATCCATTTGGCTTTTGGTAATTGCAATTTCTCGACGAGATATTTTAGGCTTTCAAAGCTACCGAGCCACTTCAGAGTTCCCTTATCTGTAATCTTTAATCCTTCCCCATATGTTGTTGCTTCAATGCTTCATCTGTAGTAGACGATGTGAATTCCAGCTTTATAGACGACCCATTACATACCACATTCAAATCATTACATACATATACAGGGTGTATAAAAAAAACGCAACCTCGGAGTTTCCTAAGAAATTACTTTGCAATTCTTAAGCATAAAAGATTTTAGGCCCCTTAGGACAGAAATCGTATTACTGTTGTTGTGCACTCGCGTGTGCAGTAATTTTGACAGTTGTGCTATTTTAAATTCCCAGGTGCCTAAAATCTTTTGTCTTTAAAACAATGTCGATTTCTTGGGAAATTCGAGGTTGCGTTTTTTTTATACACCCTGTATAACGTTAGAAATGTGACAGGAAATCACAAAAGCTTCAGGCCAATTACTGTGATCCCAAATTGTAAACGTACAAGTACAGTGTTACACAAACAACACACACACACACACACACATAGGCACACATATATGTATATATAGATACATATCTAATTTAAAAACAACATGCAATAGGTTTGGTTAGGTCCCGGGCCTGGTTACATTTAAAGCAAATTGCTTTCCACAACCGAGGATCATCCACAGTCATAATTCCTATCTAATGCGGCATAGTAATATTTAGTTCGATACACCTATACATTCTAGAATACTGCATTCAGAACTGATTTTCTACCCTTTTCTATCCTTCTATAAGTATGATTTGCGTTTTGCGACAAGTACTGTTTAGAATCCCAAACAGTGTTTTGCGACAAGTACTGTTTAGAATCCTGCAGTGTTTCATCACATTTATCAGTGAGTGAAGTTTGAAATTATCGTCTTGGTTGATAGCAGTGATATTCAAGCATTTTGAAGAGCTTGCAACCAACATGACGTCATAAATTAACGGACATATTCACACTCATTTACATATGAAACAAATTGAAATATCTCGGGAACAAACCATAAAAACAAGAAACTGAAAAATAAGTTACACTACAGCTTAAAGAGTTCTTTCATTTAAGAAAATAAGAAATTTCATGTCATATGCACTTTAAGGAATTTTTAAAGGTTATTAGAATACGGAATCCCAAAAGGTATAGCAATTTGACATACTGTACAGCTAAGTGAACACGGGAAGTGCAGCACTTGGGGACCACCGGGGGTGGGCTGGAAAAATTCAATTGACAACTAAACAAAATGTCCTGCCCCACCCACTGCATCACAAAAAATTCAATGACCCCCTTCACATAAATTCTAAAAAAATAGTAACCCCCCCCCCCCTCACCATCACCACCACCGACAATATAATAAGTGTACAGTACTGTATAGAAATGAGCTCTTTAAAGTTGTTGTAAAGGCTTCAGATCTTTCATTTACTTGTGCTTTCAACAATTAATATGCATGCCAATTTAACCCATTAAGCTGCAGAGTTTCCTGTTGACGAGTGGGGTGCACTGGGGTGCAATGTGTTAACTAACATTGTCAGATTTTTTGGTTAATCCATTAAGCTGCAGAACACCGAAGAGGCTAAAGTCATACCATTTTTCGCTGCTAAGAGTGTAGTAAAAATTGGCTCAAATAGGAAAAAGTTGCTTGAAGTTGCTTGAGCCGTAAAAAGTCGCTCGAAACGCAAAAAGTTGCTCAAAAGTTGCCGAGCATAATCGGAACATTCCTAGCAGAGCTTCCCCGTTGACAAGTAAAATGAGGAAATCCGAGGACATTTTTAAATTTAGAGTCTCTGAAATGCCATTTCCTGGACTTTGGGGGAGATTTGACAGAATTCTGATGGTCAAAAACAGCATTTTTGTATGTTGTTAATTAACTATATATTGGATAAGTTCATTTGCAGTTTGTCATGGATAATGTAGCCGCTTAAAATTAATCCAATTGTCAGTATTTTTAAGGTATATGAATCATAAAGGTCTGCATGATTTAAAAAAAAAATGATTAGCAAATTATTGGTTGCTACAGCCCTGGGTTAGGAGTAGGGTTAGAGTACTAGCTAGTGGCTTGGATATGACTGTGACTTGACACTGTAAACCGACAAACTCCTTACTAAATTAAACCATGTATAAAATACCTAGTATAAACTAGTGTATATAGTATATGCCAAACTTTCCCAGGACGTAATTTCCCTACATCGCTTACACGTAAATTATCTTTTTTATTAAGATATGTACATAATTGAAATATGACAAAAAATTACGGCAAAAGTTATAAGGTAGATGTTCGATTATTTTTCATATTAGCTGTGCGCATTGTATTTTGAGTATTTGTGCATTGCATTTTGGGTCTATCTATTGAATAAAATTGAGAATTTTTCTAGCTATATATATGAATTTGCTGGCTGCTCGCTCCCTGTGGTAGCAATAATCATTACATGTCAAATTTTTCTCCACTATTATAAATAACTGGACTCCCCTTCTGAACGAATACTTTTAGGTGCCCCCCTCTTTTTCTGTCAAAAATACCTCATGACCCACCCCTTTTTGTCAGCCCACCCCCAGTCATAAATAATGAATGGTTCCTTATACAGCATAAAGGCAGCTGTTGCTTTATTACATCTTTAGTTCAACGACGATAAAATGAAACCATATACAGTATAGGTCATACTATTCAGACTATTTCATATAAAATGTACATCTTGTGTCGGCTCGGGTTAGCTTCGTACACTGTTAGCCAAAGTCATTATTATCTTCGTTATTAAACGATGTACTGTTTTTGACGATATAAAAAATTCTCAGATAATTCTACAAAGTATATGTAATGCTTTTCATAGTTAGTTCATACCTTTGTAAGTTATCTCAAGTGTTGAAATGCATGGGTATAATTTAATTATTATACATGCAAGCGTTATCCGTTTGTCAAATGTGTCCGTCAAACGCGGCAAATCCATAACAAATTGACAGTACAAGTGTATACAAAATCTATAAGCGTCTCTATTTTTGTATTGATTAGTAAATCTCTCTTGTCCTACCCCTCACATACTTCCATGTGGCACCCAAAATCTGGGTGCCACGTGACCAGCCTGTGTCAGGAATTTCGCTGCAGCGGGTTGAGAGTATCAGGTTGAGAGCACAGTTTCGTTTGTTCTTAAATTTGCTTGTTCATAACCAGAACCAAACGTGAAGAAATTTTGTTTTGGTCCGGATGTGAACAGTGCAAGGATATCCGGATCTACGCAACCATTCAAATTCCGCGAAAAGCACTAATACAGTGTAACCAATTATCTATTGTTAATTAAAAAGCGCTGTTATGCTCTATTACTGTTCGTATTATTTTAATAGTAATACCCTGAAAACCTGTTTTAAAATAGTTCATTGATTTGTCTATTGTCAAGATTGAATATTGGGAGTGTGATTAACTCTAAAAAGACAGACACAATAACTCAGATAAAAGGCCCTACGATTGAGTGAAACCGATATGGTTACCAACAGAGTGATTTCTGGTAGATATATTTTTTAAAAACACGCTAAATAAAGGTTTTTATTATATAAACATAAATGTTATATATTTTTACGGGTGAAAATATCATTTGTTGTAAAACGCATTGCCACGGATGTTTTATTGTTTTTCACTGAATTTTGTTTATACAATAAACAGAAAAACACATGGGCTTCGTTTGCTGCGCCCACTCGTGAGATATTAGGTTCAACACTCGAAATAAATTTTTCGGATATCGGCTTTTCGCGCGAAACGTTTTCGGATCTAAAACGACTAAAATTTTTTGGATCGACGTTTTTCTTTTTTGCACGTATTTGCTCATTTTTAGTGATACCTAATCTACCTGAAAGCCAAAAAAGCGTTTGATGCAATTGTAGTCCATATTACGCAATTTTCAGTTTTCAAATTCTTCACATCCGCTTTTGTGGATTCAATTCGTCGAAATAATTACCCCAATTCTTTCCGTTTTTCTTTTATAACTAAGTCATGTACTTTAATTTAAAATCTGCACATGTGTATAAATCTTCTCTGTGGCTGTTTTCATCCATTCTCCTCGATTAAAGTTTATCACTTGTTTCATTTAAACATACAATTCGCTGCAAACACGGCTAAAGGCACCACATTGTTTTGCTCGTATTCTTACATTTCGTTATCATATCGCATTTCCATTGCATGACGTCATAACGTTGAACACGTCGCTCCGTTCCATATGAGTTTTTATATTCACAGTTATGACCGTTGAATATTATATAAGAACTCCATATTGGTCAGCTATTGACTTGATATGACGATTCCACAGTTGGCGATAGCCAAACAATCTTTTTTAATTAATCTTTTAATTAAATAAATAGTCATGATTTATTATTCTGTCATAGTGATAATAAATATTGCAAGCAAACAGTTAAATTTAGCTGAACTATATTAAAATATAGTTTTATCATGGAAATTCTGCACTGCATGTTATTCAAAACTTTTTATTGGCATATTAATATGAAACTGGTCTCTTGATTTCATATGACCCGGCTGTGTTGAATAAAAAATGCATTTCAAGTTCACGTTTAACTAACATAAGCTGTACCATTGAAATATTCGCAATAAAATATGGATACAAGGAATTTAAGCTAGTACTGCGATTTTCAAGCCGGTTCAGAGTTTTCAATTTAACGCTAAAAATGTAGAAAATGCGTCAATTTAATATACACTGCTGTTAAGTTACTCACTTAGTATTAATCAGGCTTAGGCGCCTCTTGCATATACATGTCATATATGCATGTCCTGTTCGTATAGGTAATCATGCGATGGCGAGTGCAATTATATATGTGATTAATAGTACGAGTGATGTTTGGAAATTTTGCCAAAATTGGACGAGCCGCCGGGGCGAGTCCAAAATACCTCAGTTCAAAATACCTTTCCGCCATTTTGTTTGTTTTGGGAAAATCATTAATTGTACTGCAGTACAATTAATGATGGTAATAGAACGGATAGGAGTGCTATTAATGCCATAATCATACGAGTGATTACAAAATCAACCGACCGCGTAGCGGGAGGTTGATTTGTTAATCACAAGTATGATTATGCAGGCATTAATAGCACGACTTAATTCGTTCTATTAGCTATTAATTATTTATCTTCTGTAATCAAACTGTTTGAGGGGAAAAGGCACAAAAATACAATTTGTTGAAATTCAATATAATTATTAAATTTTTGTCTCGACAATTCTTACTGTAATAGTGAAATAGTACAATATTGAATTAAATTTATCATAATCAAATTAACATAAATTAACTTCCGGGTATTATTTCCGGTATAATCACATGACAACAGTGTTTGAATTTAATAATATTCAACAGTCAACACACAACTGGGAAGCCATATGTTGCAAGTTTGTAACGTGTTCAAAATGGTGAAGTTCTTTAGCTCAGTTAATCTGAATCTGAGTCAAATATAACCGCTCGACGTCTTTTTCTGGCCGCTGAATTATCCGTGTTCACCGTCTGGTTTCCAATATTAAAAACACAGTTGTTGTAGGCAATATTAACCGGAGCTAGCGATGAGGAAACTGGGTTTTTGGCAAACACAAGTGGGACATCGTGGTCAACACTGGGGGGAATGCTCAACAAACCTTCTTGGCGAAGGATAGCGTTGGATGCAGATGCAATTTGCTGTCTGACTTGAACGGGGACAATTGATGTATCCAGGGCCTTTTTTAAGATTTTTCCGTGGGGGGGGCATTTTTTGAAAAGGGACCTTTCTGTGAGGTAATATATTAGAGGGGGATAGCAATGGCTTGGCTGAAGGCCACGTGTGTGGCCAACATACCACGCATGAATGGGGGGGGGGGGGTCTGGCGGACTACTCCCCCAGAAAATTTTTGAAATTTGAATCCCGGAAATGTCATTTCCTGCATTATGAGCATCCAAATTTGCTCCAAAATTTATGCTAACTGTACTTGTATTTGAAATAAATAAAGGAAAAAACGCACAAAAAGTAAAAAAAAATCCCATCATTTATTATTACTTATTAGAGGAGGATAACAATGATCAGGTGTGTGGGGGTGTACTCCCCCAGAAAATTTTTGAAATTTGAAGCACGGAAATGCCATTTCCTGCATTCTGAGCATTCAAATTTGCCCTAAAATTTATACTAACTATACTTGTATTTCAAATAAAAGATGGAAAAAATGCACAAAAAGTAAAAAAGAATATTAACTGTAATTTCTCATTAATTATTAGAGGGATAATCCCCAGAAAATTTTTGAAATTTGAAACCCGGAAATGCTATTTCCTGCATTCTGAGCATCCAAAAAATAAAAAAATTATTAACAATAATTTATCATTACTTAGTGGTAGAAAAAAGAAACAATTTAAATCGATTTTGTTAAACAAGGACAAAGGATAAAGCCTAAAACTTACTTTCCGTTTATGTATTTGTTAATCTTCGCTGGTTTGTTTGTATAATTTTAGGGAAAAGGGACTTTTCCTGGGGGGGCAAAATGTGATTTCGTGGGGGGCACAAGGGGGGACTGAGTACCCAGCTTGTATGTTAAAAAAGGCCCTGGATGTATCATGTTCGGTTGGTCTAGGAGCTGTGGAAGACGATACGATCGAGGGAACTGAGGTTGTTGTTCGCGAAGCTGACGCACTGTAACCGCTGATGATATGAGACAGTTCTCTGCGTTCTTCCTCGCTGATTACATCGTAATCATTTAGAGATGCCTCTGATGCATGACCGGTAATTTCCTTGATCTTATAGCGTGGTTGTCCAGCAGATTTCAGCTTTTGAACAACTGTTTTTCTCGTGCTGTGATTTGTCAACTTTTTCGCTGTTGAGCTCTCGAGCGACGAAGTCATTCTTGGCATTATTTTCCCAATTGTGTTCTGGCCCATTCGTACCTTGGTATACCAAACATCGTCATTTTTTGGACGTTGAATTATTGTCAGATACAGAGGGCCTTGGTTTCGCATCGGCTGAGGGCGTTTGGAGAGCCATAACTTGAAAAGCTTTACTGGGTCTCGAGGGCCGCCATCAGTGCTCCACATAACTTGCTTCGTGATTCTTTTTGCGACTCGAAGGCCTCCGCTTCGTGTTTTGGTGGGATTTTCATTGAATACAATAGATTCCGAGCCATCGTCGTGCTTACGAAGGATGAAATCTTCCACATATGCGTCGTAGTGGTCCTGTCGTCCTCGCAAACCCATTTGCTCCGAAAGACACTTGAAATTGGCATTTGTCAACGCGACTGGCGAATGATTTCCGAACGAACCGTTTTGCCACAGCAATTCCTCTTCGCTTTGGTTGAGTGCTTCTGCTTTGTTGGGACGTTTACCCATGCCTTGCTGTCGGAGACGTGCTGCTTTAGCGTTGAGTGTCTTCATAGACTGATGAAATTGCCTTGAAGAAATGATACTTTCGCCGTAATCTTTGTCACGTAAGTAGCGATCAATTGCAGCTTGCATCACGCGAAGGCTTTCTGGCTCGTAGTCCGCTCCATTCACCTTTTTAACTTCGCCATAAAATTTGCTGAGAAGCATATCCAATTGTTCATAAGGAAAAAGTTCAATTGGCTGACTTATTCCTCTAGCTGAACACCAATTTGACCAGACATTCATCCAGGTTTTTGTTGACCGCTCTGTGTTTACTTTCACGTTTGAGTTTTTAATCTCTTCAATGTCGTTTTCGGTTAAATTAGGGAACCTGGTTGTGTCTGGATCGGGGTCTTCTGCTGGAAGAACAGGTTGGTCATTTTCGTCAGAAAATATATCGCTTAAAATGTCAAAATATTCAAACTTTGTGAATTCCTCCATTTTGAATTTTTTACAGCAATAAAGAAAATAAAATTCAAAGTTTGTATCTTGAATGCTGATTGGCTAGTTGTAAATACTAGACTGATTGTCATTGGCTGTAGACAAGGGTGCGATTACAGCTCAGAAAAGGTGCGATTAATGCTCAAATCGCACTCCTGTAAACCAATGAAATTGCAGTATTTGCCACTGATTACAGAAGATAAATAATTAATGAAATAATTGTACTCCTCTCAACCAATCAGCATCCAGTAATTTTGTCATGCTAATAATAACTTTATGCGACGTTGCTCGTACAATTAGGGATTAATACAGGGTAATTGCTAGATAGTATACTTCAAAATAAGGTTTTCGTTTTTATAACGAAGAAAAATTATCCTAACGCAAAACTAAACCATAACACTAACCCCAACCCTAACCCTAACCTAACCCTAACCTAACCCTAACTTATTTAAAAAATTGAATTAAAAAAACCGGAAACCTTATTTTGAAGTATACTATCTAGCAATTTTCATTAAATACAGGGTGTCCCAAAAAAACGCAAAACCATTGAAATAACGTATTGTTAAAATTTGAATGCCCTAGCACTGAACGCAAATATGCGTAAAATATTGACAAGGGTGCATATATTAAATATTGACTTATTAAGAAATTAAAATATCTTTGTAAAGCGCACAATCTTCTGCTCTTGTTAGTTTAAAACAGCTTCTTAAACGGTTTCTTTGTGCATAAAATTTACTTACGTCAAGCTTTGATACACGTGTGGGTTCAGAAGAGTGGGAAAGCAATCAAATTCTAACAATATATTTATTTCAAGCTTCGGCGGCTCGTCCAATTATGGCAAAATTTCCAAACATCACTCGTACTATTAATCCCTAATTGTACTCGCCATCGCATGATTACCTCTACTAAGTGCATGCATGTCTTATACATTTATCTGCATTTAATACAGTTACAAGACACAGTTATAATTTTGACAGATAATGTATTCTGTGTATATTAACAGCTCAATTTAATAGCAAAAAATTATAAAGAGAGGAGTCCATTCGCCAAAGTAGTACTAAAATGAACAAGCGCAACATTATATGGATAACACTAACATGCAGAACACTAGTACTACGACTTTTATTATGTTCTACGTGTGTTTTACCGCAATCTTAAGCCTAGTTCTCATTCATCGCAAACTGTCACCGACGATCGGCGACGCTTATCGCCGATACTCGCCGAGCGCGAATGCACGAAAGCCTCCATACATCGCGGTGATCGTCGCAGATGACAGCCGATGTGTTTCGAAATTTCCCACCAAGGCACAAAATGGCCCCATTCAACGTAAAGTTGATGATTTCTGTCAAACTTCAGTTGATTGTTTCCTTGCCCGTTGAGGAAAAAACAACTTTGACTCATTTCCCATAGATTTTTCAAGCAGGTGCCAGTCGGCGATGGTCGCAAGAAAAAACCTTTTTTGTTTCCTACGATGTCATCGCCGATGATCGGCGACGATTACGGACAATCGGCGATATAATTTTTGAAGTGTTCTCATAAATGGCCAGCGGTCGCCGACGTAGCAAAGCTCCATCGCCGACGGTTTGCGATGAATGAGAACTAGGCTTTTAAAAGACGATTTTTGCCATCATCGGTTTATTATCTAACTGTCTACTACTTGTTGGACTGTTAAAGGATTCCCTGAAGTGTTTTAGAAATTCTTCATTGTATTTCGGATTTTCTAACTTCCCTTAAGCGGCGATTGTAGTAAATTCGGGCGTACTTCTTGTATAGACGGTCGGAGGACGTGTGTATTCTTTCTCTAACCTACCGAAGAATATTAATTTTCCTTCTCTAGCATTTTAACAATCGCTTTCGACCGTTATATATAAGCTGTTGTCATCTGTTCAATCAGCAGAATCTTCATAAGGGGGGGGGGGCAAGGGTGGTCTCGTCACGAAATCACGAAGATCATTATTAGATTTCACGAGTCACGAAAAACAAAAATTTCATTTTCACGGTTTTTAGAAACACAGAAGCGTAACAGGGTCTGAAACCTGGTTCACGAAGTCTACGAAGAGGTACGAAGGTATACGACAAGGACGTTTACCATGAAACGAAGAAACCTCAAGAAAGACAACCACGGGAAGCAAATTTGTTCATTTTTCTTTAAAACCTTAATATTAAATTTGGGCCGAGTTTTAAACGTAAACATTCACAAGTTAGGGTAAAATATTGGTAAATTCAAGACCCTACTAGCCCTTTTGGCTCTTCACGATTCACGGCACGCATATCAATCACGATTCACGAAGTGGTATTTCTTCAAATCACGAAGCACGAATAATTGCTAATCACGAGTCACGAAAATACCCTTGCCAATGTCTCCCTCTTCATAACCAAAAGATGTACCAAATGCATGCTTAATCCTATGTAAAACAATGGTTGTTTTCCTGGAATTGTCCAATCAAGTTTCGAATTGTTTTACAAAAGTGGTTTAAACTTTTCTATCCCAGATATATACTGGGAATATGCATTGTATTCAATTCAATTCAACATAATGGATCACCTTCATCCGCTCTTGAGCTTCACTGGCATCAGGAAAGACATGCAGCTGCTGAAAGAAAAACGCTTTCGTACTACCATATTTATTGTGTACAGAACCTTAAAAATTAGAACCATATAAATGATTTGCTAATTAGCATCCTCTAAAACATGCAAGAGATGATTGAAACTTTAATTGAAACGAAAATGAGTAATAACTAATAACTAATAACAACAGCAGATGCCTTTTAAAACTTTAAGAGCTTCTTTTCTTAAGTCTGCTCTCTTCCAGAAGAAGATTAAAGAGTTAAGCGTTGTGTTCACGGCAAGAGCTGTCACATACCAAGAAATTATGACTATATATATCATTATGTCTTTTTCGAGATAGTAAATGTTGAGAAATTCACCAGGTATACAAGAAATGTAGAATGTAACAACGACCATTGCACAAGACTTGGCGAGCTTTGATTCTTTCAACGAATGTCGTTTTTTAATGCGATTTGATTGTTTCTCGGTTCGGTTGTTACTTGTGCTGTTGTTGTTGATTAGTCGTAGTCTTTTCCTTGTTGAATACAAGATCCGTGAGTAGCAATATGTATGAAGTAACATAGGTATAATTGCGTAGACCGCGCAAAAGATGTAATAGAATGTTGCTGAAACTACAGCCAATGGGACGATTATGAATGTTACCAATATAACACAACAAATGTATTCCAAAAACATTTTCTTTGTAACGTACTTAATATGTGCAAATGGATGCAAAACGCCCATGTATCTCTCAAAGGTCATTGCGCATAAAGTTGCTAAGGATAATCCCCACGGTATAAATGCTACTGTAGAAAAGACAAAACTTAACACACAGTCTGGCGAACCGAAAACTTCTGTGAGGTGAAGGTAGCTAAACAATGGTAGGGTTAGTAATCCAACAGACAAGTCAGCCATTGACTGCATAAATACCGTAAAGTGACAAACTTTTGCCCTCAGTTGATGACTTTTCCAGATAGTAAGAACTGTAATACCGTTCAAAAGTATTACAGGAATTGTTAGTATAGAAATCACTACAGATGTAATGAGTTGGTTGAAGTCATATTTACTTGAAGAAAATCGTGCAATAATGGGATATGTGTGCCGGACTATTGAACACACTTTAATGTAGTATGGTATTGTATCATTCATTTCCGTTCCTTCCTCTTATAGGTTTTCAATGTTGAGTTTTCTTCAAACCGTTGCGGAGTAAAGCCAAGCTATAGGTATAAAGATCAATTAAAATAATATCAACGTTACACTGCACTGATATACTTTGAAGGCCATGATACACATGCAAGGCATATTTTGCTGCGACTTGCGACACAATTTTTGACATAATTATAGAGCCATGTCATCCAAAAGTGATCGCAGGGAATTTTCGACATGGCCACGGTTTATGCATGCCGACATTTCCTTCCCATTTCTTTCATTTTTCATTCTCTATGAGTATATTATGTAAAGAAAATGTTGGCATGAGCTTCGTTGAATGCGTGCTATCGTACTCACAATTTCCCAGATAACATGCGCATGCATGACTCTGAAGATAGCATTGGCTACGAATCATTGAAGTTTCAGTCAATCCGAAGTCACTGTGCATGCATGTGTGTTTTTATTAATTAAGCGAAAATTTAGAAGTGATAGTTTTCTTGAAGTTGCAGCCTATTTCTCATACTATAAATAATTGTTTTTCTCTTCAAGATTGTTTCTCTCCCCAAATCTTTATGAATTATTTGACGGAGAAGTTAATGATATTTTTTTAAATATGACCTTTCAATGTCGCACGATATAAATGATGAATCAAGTAATATATAATTTTGCATCAACTATCTTGTCCTTGAGTGATCAGTTTAATTAACATCCTATATTCGCCGTCTGAATCTTTCTTGAACGAAATGCGTCAAAAGCCGATTTTCAAATGGGCGGAGTTTTGCGCGCGGAGAGTTTTTTTAATTAGTTACCCCGAAATTGTACTACCCGAGAAATTATAAGAGAAAGAACAAATTCTTCTTCAAAACACGCAATACCTATATTAATAATTATAAACAGTTAACATATTGAATGAGGTTTTTATGATATCATGCATGCGGCATTATCAAAGTCGAGGTAAATGCTATCAGCCAAGCCGAATTGTACCAAACACACAAGGACGAAATTTGGAATGAAATTTGTATTTGCTGATTGGTTCAAAATCCAAAGTTAAGTACACTGGGCTACTCATTACTGTATATTTCCTGTATGCATGCCATTTTCAGTAAAATTTTATTTAACAAGACTTGTAACTAAAAATGTAATTAATCAATATATACTCTATCTGTTACTATCTGCATGCCATCAAGATTTTATCCTGTTAGTGTAAATTAGCACAGAAAAGCCCATCCTTGAATTTAAGTTCTACTATTACTATACAGTACCACTGTGAAGTACGCATGACATTCAACATGACATTCGATCTGGAGCAAACTCACACATTTCAATCACTCGATGAAAAATCCAGCTATTTCGTCTCTCCCAAATAAATTACAAAAAATTAAATTACAGTTTATATTAGCTAACTAGTACCCTACCCGTTTTCTGCACACAAACCAACAAAGTTACCTCAAAGCACTCCAAAACGATATTTTCCTAACAGTTAAGCACAATGCCAAAGCCAATAAGTAGTGAATACAGTTTGCCAAGAATTTTAAGCTGTTAATTTCTTAGCTGCTATTTTATAGGATTTTTAAACTTTCACTTATTGTACAATTATCGCCTCTTTCTACCGGTTATTTAAACTTAGGTGGCTCAGGCCTGGAAACAACTGAAATTGCACCCCAAAGTGAGCGATACGGTGTTAGCAGTACACATGCAATATCCAATTACGAGTGCCTTGTCAAATATTACATATGAAACTGATTAATTTCTCAGCTGCTATTCAATAGGATATTTTAAGTTTTGTATAATCATTGTACAAATTTATTTCCTTTTAATCTTCTAACCGGATATTTAACCTTAGGTGGCTCAGGCGTGCAAACAATCGAAATTTGGCCTCAATATATACGGTATTAGCTGCGTAAGCGAATAGGAGAGGCTATAGCGCGCGCTGTAATTAATAGTATGTTAATCTATAAATTTCTATAAATTTATCTATGGCGTAAGCGAATTATTAGACGTAAGCGAATTATTAGGCGTAAGCGAATACTCTCTATAGTATATATGATCTCTCTATATCTCGCTGTTGAGAAATTCATGTTAATTAAAGTCTAAATTTTTCCGCTGCTATTTTATAGGATTTTTAAAACTTTCATGTAGAAATTTATACTCTCTTATCTTGCAAAATGTACTGGGTTAAGCGTATATAATATATATCTTAATTACGCGCTCAGTGACAAAAATTACATGTGAGACCGATTAATATCTCTGCTGCTATTATATAGGATTTTTTAAAAATTTTATATGCATGGAACAAATTTATCTTATCCGGCTATCCACAGGTTATTTCACACTGTAAAAACTGATAGGTTAAAACAACCTATTTCTAAAGGTTGTAACCAATAATTAAAGGTTGTTTTAACCAATTGAATGGGTTAGAACCGATTTAAATTAGTTAAAATAACCTATTATTATCAGATCAAATTTTGAGACCAATAAAAATAGGTTAATTTAACCAATCTTTTTGGTTAAGCAAATTTACCGATTGGTTATTATTCCCAAATAGGTCATTATAACCATTATGATTAGGTCAAAATACTGAAAACTAAACTAACCTATATGAAATATGTTGAAATATTTAGTTCGACTTACGACATATACTTTCAATTTCAAGGAGTTATTCTCACTTCACTCAGTTAAAAGCCATTTATTAAATCGTATAGTAGAAGTGAAATAGTGAGTAATTTTCCACCAAGTTTTTACTCGGCCTGTGTATTATAACTCGACCATCACACATAGGAATGACAAAAACTATATTCAAGTTTCTTCAACCTAGAATTAGGGCGATATTTTCTATACAAATTCGTAGTGAAGGACAGCAGTTCGTAAAAATCAACTGACCCAAGATTTAATTCAGCTGGTTGACGCGCCGTTTTTCTCGAATATTGCCAAGTCAGATTCTTGTAGTTGTATTACAAGTATATCGGACCATATCGGATTCTTATTGTTCGATCGCACGCGACGATCGAATGTAGCCAGAAATTGTCAGCGAGTTTTTCTTGTCAAATTAATTTAACACCAGCATTGCTCTCATCTATATTTTTTGCTGCGTAAATCTCTATTATAATTACCCGCGTTTGCCAGAGATTCTGTAATTTGAACTTGTGGAATGTTTTGCTGCTGAATATAATTTTCAACAAGTGGAAGTTCCAAACTTTCAACCAATTGACATGCTTAGAATATATCACGTGTTGTAGTAATTCGATCTGTATGACACATTGACAACAAGCGCCAAGTTCGATCTTTTGAGAGCAAGCATTCAAAGGAGAAGATTTTTATTCAAATTTTCTATTATAAAGTTCGAAAGACCTAGTAAAATACATGGAATTTGAAAGGTATGTCTATTGTGTATTTACTCATTTGTATGCGGATAGTTACTTGACATAATGTAGTTATATTTTTATTAAAATCGAAGGCCTGTATTTTATATTAGTCGCTTCGCCGCCGATTCACTCACAGGCGGCCCAGACGTGTATTAGTGTATAGTATTAAAATATATCATTATAGAATATACTACACAGTAAAATTTGTAATGAATTTTATATTTTAAAATCATATTTACTTGCCTAATTTGATTGTATGTGATCGTCTTTTATTTCTGAGCGACTTTACATTCGATGCCTGCGACTGTCTTCATAGGTGATAGTATTGAAAGCAAAGGCTAACGATTCCAGTTCTCAAACAGCCGACACGAACAATTCAAATCGAAAAATATCCCCTTCAAATTGCTTTCTTCGCGGTAAAACTTCGCCAGCGTATAGAATAAACACCCATCTTCAACATACAAAGCAATATTAACACATCCTATAATTTTTGCAATGGATTTTTAGCGAAATGTTTCGAGACTAAAATTCTATGGAACTTAGAAAGCCCGATAATTACTACGGCGCCTGCTTGGCCACCTAGCCTCCTTTACCGTTTGGATTTTCAGGGGGGGGGATCGAATAAAAAATACCGACTGTTTACAATATTTGAAATCTGATATTGTAATTTATCAACAACAAAACTCTTTTCGATCGTATACAGCAACAACAGCCAGCGAATCAATGCCGCGATAGCGACGGTTTACTATATTTGAATCTGATATTGTAATTTGCAAAAGCTATCTTTCTATCTTATACTATACGATCGATCGATCGAAAGAGTTTTTGTTGTTGATAAATTACAATATCAGATTTCAAATATTGTAAACAGTCGGTATCGCGGCGTTGATTGGCTGGCTGTTGCCGGAAATAGGTGTTTTTTATTCGATCCCCCCCCTGAAAATCCAAACGGTAAAGGAGGCTAGGTGGCCAAGCAGGCGCCGTAGTAATTATCGGGCTTTCTAAGTTCCATAGAATTTTAGTCTCGAAACATTTCGCTAAAAATCCATTGCAAAAATTATAGGACGTGTTAATATTGCTTTGTATGTTCGAAGATGGGTGTTTATTCTATACGCTGGCGACGTTTTACCGGGAACAAAGCAATTTGAAGGGGATATTTTTCGATTTGAATTGTTCGTGTCGGCTGTTTGAGAACTGGAATCGTTAGCCTTTGCTTTCAATACTATCACCTATGAAGACAGTCGCAGGCATCGAATGTAAAGTCGCTCAGAAATAAAAGACGATCACATACAATCAAAGTAGGCAAGTAAATATGATTTTAAAATATAAAATTCATTACAAATTTTACTGTGTAGTATATTCTATAATGATATATTTACTATACACTAATACACGTCTGGGCCGCCTGTGATTCACTGAAGGCATCTGGACGTTCAGTTGTAAATTTTCAATTAATTTCTATTAGCAGAAGTCTATAAGTCTAATCTACAGTCTCCACGTATATGTATTGTTAAGAAAATCGTATAGCTTATTTGTGTGATATGCATTTGTATGTTGTAATTTTCTGTTAAATATTTGCTATAAAGATGCTTGTGATGTTTAATACTCTGAGCTAGTGTATATCCACACCGGGCAAGCTTGAAAAATATGCCTGTCCATGGTGGGAATCGAACCTACGAGCTTTGGAATACTAGCCCAATGCTCTGCCCACTGAGCTACGTGGTCAGGTCGGTTCGAGTATGTGATATTTTGGAACAGAATCTAGTTCCTTTGATACCAATGTAATTTAGTAATCATGATATTTTCTGTGTTGATGCAATGTACTCAGGTGAATATATGCTTGTGATGTTACTCTGAGACTCAGAGTAACATCACAAGCATCATATTCACCCGAGTACATTGCATCAACACAGAAAATATCATGATGAGTGTATATCCACACCGGGCAAGCTTGAAAAATACGCCTGTCCAGGGTGGGAATCAAACCTATGGACAGATTTAGAACTAGATTCTGTTCTGAAATATCACATACTCGAACCACAGTCAAGGGAACACAGCAGTCCGATATTTGACTTCTTTATTTAATAAACTATAAACATAATCGTTCACTTACTTGTTTTTTGGTCTTTCTATATGCATATTTTTATGTGATTCCCCGCTTTAATATTCATATATTCATATAAAATACAGCGTGCGATTCGTTGGCAAATCAAAGCAAATTCAAAATTGTTTTCAAGCGTATTCCCGCTTTAATTGGTATAGCGGGCGCGGCTGTTTTCTTGCCACAGAAAATATCATGATGAGTGTATATCCACACCAGGCAAGCTTGAAAAATACGCCTCTCTACGGTGGGAATCAAACCTGTGGACAGATTTAGAACTAGATTCTGTTCTGAAATATCACATACTCGAACCACAGTTAAGGACTTTGCTCGAACCGACCTGACCGCATAGCTCAGTTGGCAGAGCATTGGGCTAGTATTCCAAAGGTCATAGGTTTGATTCCCACCATGGACAGGCATATTTTTCAAGCATGCTCGGGGTGGATATACACTCAGTGTAACATCACAAGCATCATATTCACCTGAGTACATTGCATCAGCACAGAAAATATAATTTGCTATAACGTTGACATGTATACAGTACTTTTATATATGTGACTTGTTTGAAATGCAGTCACATTAATGGCATATAGACAGGATTGCAATAGCCCATCTTGACATCTCCCAATATTACCCAATGCATGGCATGTGCTTCCTATGCCTATGGTAACCCTTCTATCGGTCAGCCTAAAACATGTGAAAGGGGCTGCTTATGTAGAGGCGAGCCAGCCCAGGTAACTTGGCTATAGCTTGCTTTCCCTGGACGAATGTCTATTTACATGTCTTATGAGCCTCTCTAGATGGGCTCATGGGCTACGCTCGCCAAAACAAATCACCCAGACTGAGTTGTGTAATAGCAGCACATTTTCAAATAAAGTAAATCAACATCATACTTTTGCAAACAGTTTTGAAATGTAACTGACAAAAACAATCACAGACTGATATCTTTTAATGTTGAAATTGATTGGGAAATGTCATTTTATTAGAAGATTGCATGTAAAATTTAACTGATGGACTTGCATGACATGCTTGATTGAACAGTCACACTACATGCATATTTTACATCTTGTAAATATTCTACATTGAACAGAATGTTAACCCTTTATGTGACATTTTTACTCATGAAGGAGAGAGGCTGCCATTCAATGGGTTAAAGCCTTTTTTTTAATTAAATGGAAATTTTGAACAATAAATATGTAACATATACATACTGTGCCGGGAATGGAACCTTCTGCCCTGTGATTCTGAACAGCTCTTTAACAGCCGAGAGACACTCGAGCCCTGAGAGTCCAAGCCCCAAGAGTCCATCAAGCTAATTAGAGTTCATGTATATATGAATTGTAAATGTTCACAGTAAAATTTTAAGCAGAACAGCATGAAGCTTTTTATTTAGGTTTGGAGAATACATTTTTGCAGTGTGTATGTATGTATGCATGTGTAAATATTTATCTCCTTTTGATTTTTGTAGAGTTGGAAAACCGCTGTATTCTTGCAGCATTTGCCTTTGAAAAGGCAGCAAGCAAACAAATTCCAGGGGAGCTATTTTTCGAAGTTGTGAATGTAAGTCAATTTTGTATATTTTATATGCCATTTAGCTGATTAGTGATGTCAGAACTTATTAACCCTTTAAGCTGCAGAGCTTCTCTATTGACAAGCAAAATCGTCTGGCATTAGACAAGTAGAAAAAAAATGTAGGGCATGCTGGAGTGCATTGCGGCTTAATGGGTTAACTATAGACATTGTCAGATTTTTTGGTTAAAAACCCATTAAGCTGCAGAGCTTCCCTATTGACGAGTAAAATCGCCTGGCATTAGACAAGTTAAAGGGAAAGTCAAGTCTTTAATGTAAACAAACGGTTTGTTTACATTTTGAACTGCTGTATTTTTTAAAATATGATGTACTGTCTGAATATCTAACACCATTTTGGTTCGCTATACTTCTAAATGAGTATGAAATAGAGTTTATGTTCAGAAAAATTCAAAATTTGGGCAATGTTCACATTAGAGGTCCTCACATTGTTATGAGCAGAACCGATGCGCAGAACGGACTTGACTTCCCCTTTAAAAAAAACAAGTAGGGCGCGCTGGTTGTTGTGCAGTACAGTTGCAACATGCATGCACATACATAGGCTACCTGGATATATTTGGTAGTGATGTTAAGTTTCCTTGCAAGATCCTTAATGTTGCATGCATATAGAATATATTCTCATTTTTTGTTTCCAGAGTGATTTTGAAATCCAGCATACTGAGAGAATAAAGGCGTGTTCAACACCGCTATTGGCAACCGGATCTCTACAAGAGATAAGTTCACTTACCCTCATTGCAGAGGGTATATGGTATAGTTGCCATATTAAGAGGAAGTACTATAATCAGCACTATTACATGCTTATTAGCAGCGTACCGTAAACCTCCGAATATAAGCCCCTCCCGAATATAAGCCCCTCCCGAATATAAGCCCCCCCCGTGTATAAGCCCACTACATGTAGTAACGCTCACCTCATTCCAAATATAAGCCCCCCCCCCCGAATATAAGCCCACTTGTTTATCAGTTATCACCATTTATTGTTTATCACTATTACCACTTACCACTATTAATCACTATTATTACTATGCTAGTATGCTTAACACTTGTTTATCACTATTACTTTACTTGTTTGTCACTATTACACTAACACAAAAGATCGTCCGTGTATAAGCTCCCCCCCGTATATAAGCCCCTCCTTGTATAAGCCCATCAAAAATCGCTTACGGAAAAATATAAGCCCAGGGCTTACAGTCGGAGGTTTACGGTATTTTGTTCTTAATGCTGAATACCTCAATGGCCTTGGCAATGTTCCTCGAGCATATTCGGCTGGGAAGGATTGGTCAAACTCTGCTAATCGGTGAACTATAGAACACAAGCTAGAACTAAGATTATATGGCGATCGATTGTTGTAACATATTATAATAATGAGAGATTGAGAATGCACAAACAGGCCGGGGTTGCATGGTGATCGCGATCTAATTAATGCTAAGTTAAGTGCTTAGCCATGATTTCATGATAATATATAATACTTGATAAAACCATGCAACTCTCTAGCCTGTGTGTCAGTAACAGTGTAGTCAACTGGAACACAGGCTATAGAAACACAAAACGTACTACTGTGTACTTACTGTAATCTTAGATGTTACAAAATATATTTTTATATACAGTTCATAATATTGTTTGATTATAGCGTACTTGGATGATTAATTGCCTGCAGAATTATTGTTTAGCTGTTTCGTTTTAGCGTATCTTATTCAGTTGACGCAACATCATTTAACCAACGAAAGTGCGCGATGTTTCGTACTCCGACTTTAACCGTTATTTACTGGTTGTTATAACTAAAAAAATTGGCCAAATCAACCAAAATATTATTGGTGAATATCCGTACCATTTGTATTATAGTTAAAACAACCTATATTTATTTGGTTAAAATATGCTCAATTTGACAGTTTAAATTTTAGTCATTTTAACTTTTGAATATAGGTTGGAATTACCTT